GGGATCAAAATGAGGAAAGAGTTTATTTTCACTGTATTTCCGACAGTTACTTTAGCAACCTTGTTACTACGCTTGGCAGCGGACTGCTCAGCTAGATGTGAGAGATGCGTTTAAAGAAGCGTGAAAATAAGGTTTGATGCTTCCCCAAATTCTTAAAAAGAGAAGAAAAGTTATTCCTATTCTCTCATTTATCTTCACAAAGTCCTTCTGAGAGAATCTAGGATTTGAAAGACAGAAGAAAGCCCATAAATTTGAAGAGCTTTTTTATGTTCTCTTTTTCTAAAGACCACCCAGTTCTGCCCCTTTACTCCTCCCATTACCTCGCACTGTCAAACTGTCCTAGACAATACAGAAAGCAACAACAGTGAGGATCATTTTGTTGCCAGAACACGCTGATCTTGCACAAGGAAGAGACAGTGGGAACGTACAGAGAATTAAGGAAGAAAAAGATCCAATTACAAAAGGATGCTTCCAACTTTTTTTTACTATTCTTGCAGAAGAGCTCATGCTTTCAGGAGCAGAACTGCTGACACAACATTTTGCATCAGCAGTTCTGCCTGTAACTTGGCTCACAAAGTTCGTAAATCCCATTTTACAGAGTCCTACAACAAGAAAATTGTTTGCAGTTCCCAGCAAGTAACAAAAAGGAATCATCTCTGGCATACAAAATTAATTTTTATGTTGCCATTTACATGCTCACATCTCTAATTGGTAATAAAGACAAAGCTATTGAAAGAAAGCACAGACTTGGGAGATACACATGCATCTACCCAGTGCTGCCCGAGTACGCTGGGAACATTGAAAACAGTGGCTGATTTGTCACGCCCCAGCTTCAAATCTTTTATGAGCAGCTCCTTTGAAGCCAGTCCTATATCTCACACATCTGCAATACAGAGCTCTTCTACTCCATCGCTGCCTCTGCCAGATGAGCCACCCAGGGTTTGTGATCCACCACCAACTGTACCTGGTGGGTGGCATCACAGAGCACGACAGAAGCCGGGAGGCAGCGCAGGCGCTGGGAGATGCACCCTGCCATGCAGAGCCCGCATTTGCAGGGAGCCCCATCAGAAAGCAATCTCCTGTCTCTCATCGTCGGGATCTGACTGAGCCCTCTCACACGACCCATTTATTACATCTCACACATCGCAAGAGACTAAGGGGCAGGGGGCACAGAGAAAAGCACCAATGTCAACTCTGGATTGGAAAGTACAGTGTGTACTACTATGTTTCATTTCTACACCACCTCCACAGCCTAAGAGCCATGACACACAAAGCCAAATCACAGGCCACAGGGTCAGATCTGATGTGTGCAGCCTGAGCAAACCTGCAGAGCAAACTGGATCGCTCATTAAACATCCTCCCACAGCTGCTGCAGAAGTCAGTGACTGCAAGAGAAGGCCTGTTCCCCAACATCCACCGCCACCAAGTGACCCTGGGGCAGCAGCTCCTCTTCCCAGGTCACTTCACGCTGGAGTATCTGCAACCACAAGCAGGGGCTTTCAGTGTTCAGTGCAGCAGGACACCAAAAAGCATTGCGCCCAGCTCCTCAAAAGCACTCATCAGGCACAACGCAAACACGCCAGTATCTGCAGTTTCCACATGAGAGAGAATTCACTGTAACACTGTGTATTTCTGTGGTGTGGTTTCTTCCTTCTCAGACTTTAGCCAGGGACAAGGTCAACGCAAGTGGCCAAGTTACCCCACTCTGCCAACAGGCAGCAGAATAGGAACGCTCCTTCCCAGGGTCAGGCAACAGAATCAAGTCAGGACGGGCCCCAGGGCCACCTACTCACACCCCATCCTCATTAGTCTGTGCCAGAGCCTAGTATCAATACTTTTACGGCAACGGATAGCCAAAGGAAAAAGGAGACAAAAGCAAAAGGCTGATCAACCTGAACCCCACGTACTGGCAATCAACTCAAATCAAAGCAGTGGATTTCAGTGCTCTGACCAAATGGGAGTAGCATTTCAACAGCTCCATCCCAAACTCACAAGTCTTTTCGGTGTTTCTGGATTTGAGCACGTGCTTTCAGATCCTCCTCTTCTTGCAGTTGCTTGGCCACCTGCAAGTCATGTTGCACCAGACGATTACGCTGAACATTTGTTGCCAAGTGATGCTCAACTGGAAATAAACACAGACAAGAACCCCCAAATCAGCCTGCAGAACTTCACGGTGTGAACAAGACAAAGCAAGTGGGAGGGAGACTCCAGGCCAGAAAGGAAGACAGTTCTTGGCAGGGAAACATCACGTAACATCTCTAAAGGTGGGGAAGTCCTGAACTGAAGTTAGGCTAGCAGCTTGAGATTGCCTTGTTTCAGCACTACATGGGGGCTGTATACGCGTGTCTTACCAAACCAAGATCTGCATATCTTGATCGCATCCAGATTTATAAGGAATGCTTTTTAGGCTTTGAATTTCATTTTCTGGCCACGGGAAATTACCCTAGATTAATAAAGTGGGGCTGGAAGGGACCACCAGAGGCCAGGGAGGACAAGTTGAACCTAACCACTTCTGATGGATGCTTCCCTAATTTGTTCTCAAGAACCTTTGGAGGAGGAAACTCCTCTCGCTCTCAACATAATCAGTTCCAGAATCTCACTACCTTTATATTTAGCAACAGAGCAACGGAGTACTACAGCGAGTCCTTTACCATACATGGATACTGCCTGCAAGAAAAGATGGCTACACGAGCTGCAGCTGAGAGCCAGCTTCAATTCAGTGGTCTCAGGTTCCAGCAGCAAGGGCACAACTTCAGCGCAATCTGCACGCTTGGTGGAGTAGCTCAAATGGTATTGGCATCTAGTACTGGTAGATACCAATGGCCTTGGCACACAGCAAAGCACAAGAGAGGTCACCACACCTGAAACTGCAATGCAAACATACCCCAAGTAACAAATAAGCACTTTTTTAAAAAAAAAAAAAAAAAAAATCACCAGTCACTTTGAAGTTCCTGGCTGTACTTTTTCTCCTCCTTTTTAAACCCTACAGTGTACAGCTGCCCTACCTCAAAATGTCTTTAAAGGAAGCCTCCTTTCAAAAGGCAGGCACTAGCGATTCTGAAATAAGTAAATAAACAGACCTATTCTGGTTGCACCTCAGGTCAGCCTATAAGACTTGAAGCTTCCAAAATTGCTAGTCATTTCTAAAAACCTTGCACAGCAACAAAACCCCAAGTGCACTCCCACATGCAATTTTATCATAAATGGCATAAACAAACTCAACTTTAAAGGAGAGCACAAAATTGAAACATGAAATGCAACTATCTCTAGGGTACAATGTGAGCTGGGGCAGAACGCAGAGTAGTGTTACAGGACAGCGAAGACAGTAATAATAATCCATATTCCATTAAAAAGAACAAAAATTAAATAAAAGCAGGGAGGACTTTTCTTAGCAAAACCGAAAAAAAGTCAGATACCCGTTGGGACAAATTTGCTTCAGTTTGTTCCAAAGATCATTGCTACTTACTCTCTTGCTCCTGTAAGTTATGGGCCAAGGTATGATCTTCCAGAACAGCGAAGTCTCGACACACTGGACAGGGAAACAAAGCCAAGAGAATTAGATCAGGAGAAAAAAAAAAAAAAAAAAAAAAAAAAAAAAATAACCACCACAAAAAAAACCCAAAACACACAACACCAAAACACAAACAAACAAACCACCATCAAAAAAGCTATGGGGGTCAGGGGAGCATACATGCAGAGAGGCTTCTGACACATTTGCTTTCTACCAGCCAAGGTCTGGACTTGCGGGTTTTTCCCCCTCTGCACTTGTGGCTATTTCTGCATGTACTTACATTTTTGTCCCTGTTTGCGTAATAAGCCTTCTCCACTCTCCCCTCCACCTCCGCTTCTTCAGTTTAAGACCAGAATTGCCCACACCACCGCTGGATCAGACCTTGTATACAAAACCGTGTATTCCAACCAGATTTATACCAACACCCACGCTTAGTATGTTCAACTAAAACCAAGGTCAAGCATTTGTGCTTACTATGACTTTCTTTGCCAGCTTAAAGCATCTGAGAATAGTATTTTCTCCGCACAAAGACACATGCACGCTGTCACCTCTGCAGAGCTGAGCAGACTGAGCTCCATGACTCTCGCTGCAAGGCATTTCTACTGGCTTAGGAATCACTTTACAGTTATCTCCTTCATTGACTTTTTCAAGTGCAGGTGCTGGATCTGCACCTAGAGCCCAGATATGGGATCAACCACAGAGTTACCGGCAGGGATAAGCACAGCTTTTTAAAAAGATGCTGAAAGCAACCCAGCGACACACTAAATGGGAAGGGGACGAGCTCCCTTTGGCATCAGTTTCAAAGGAGCAGATTTTTGCCAATGCCTATCACTTTCGCACTTGAACTTTCAAAGGAACGCTCTACACACACTGTAGAAAAACACCAGGGTTTATTTTTAACTGGTTATGATAGGCAGCAAGGCAACAAAACACAAGTCGCATCCATATCGGGACAGGGACACACGCACGGCATCTGGTTCGGCCTTTTGGTGGCAGGTACACATCAGCTTCTCGGTGAACCAAGGACAAACTGTGACCTGTGCCCCCAAACCGCAGGATGGGGCCCCGCTCCGCACACCTGCCATACACAGAGTTCCCGTCTGCTTCAAGGGGAGTTTAAGGCAGGGACACTGAAAAATTTACACTGGAGAGGTCTGTCACTTGTTTTTCCCTCAGTGTGACAAGCTAAGCAGCTTAACAGGACCCAGAAGGGGAGTATCTCCCATTTGAATCCCATTCGAAACATACAGCACAAAGCAGAGAACTACAGGGTGCTTCCGAAGCTGCAGAAGGAGGTACGAACCACTGCCGCTGCGCTCCACAGGCAAAACCTCTGGGGAAGACCAAGGTTTCTCTTTAGCAGAGCACAGCGACAGCCTAGAAGAGAAAGTGAAAATAACCCCAAAACTCCCAGAACATACCAAAACTACAAGGGGAATTTATGAGGAACCCATTTATGAAATGGTTCAGAGTCGAGAAGATAAAACATTTCCGTCACCGCAAAGGGTGGAAAATACTACAAGGAAACGAGAAGGCAGCCACGTCTTCCCAAGCCAGAGTCCCACAAGCCTTCCCTCTTCTCGCATTGACGTGCATGCTCCGCTAGAGAAGCATCAACATGTTCCTCTGCGCCCAGGTATCTTCACAAAATATCTAGAAGAGTTTCTAGTTGTGTGTACTAAGAGGTCAGATAAATGCTTTATCCTTCATCACATTCAACAGAATTTTCAGTTGTGTCTTTCTGCATTGGAGGGTGTTTTACAGATGACAAAAGCTCCTAACAGCTAGCGCAGCGCTTCAGGGAAAGAGAGTGACAAGCAGCAGGGTGGAGATGAGGACAAAGATTACGGTTATACGATCCCATAGTGACTCACTTTAAGCATGCACAATTCTGGACGGTGCAATTAAGGTTTTGTTGTTGCCTTTTTTTTTTTTTTAATTGCAACTTCTTTTAAAAAAGGAAAGAGGATACAAAACACTAAATAGCAGTGAAACACTTCCAGTGCACATTTGTGTATAATTAAAGAAGCAATGAGGACAAAGATTACGGTTATACGATCCCATAGTGACTCACTTTAAGCATGCACAATTCTGGACGGTGCAATTAAGGTTTTGTTGTTGCCTTTTTTTTTTTTTTAATTGCAACTTCTTTTAAAAAAGGAAAGAGGATACAAAACACTAAATAGCAGTGAAACACTTCCAGTGCACATTTGTGTATAATTAAAGAAGCACTGCCTTCAGCCACAGATCTGAGCTGCAGGCAGCAGTGCTATTCACAGGTGACATACCCAGGGTGCTCGGTGGTCATGAACACATGTTTTTATCGGATAGGGCAAGGGGATCTTGCCCGTAGAGGCTTTATTTCTGTGGTCCCTAACACTACTTCAGCTTCATAGCACAATTGTGGAACAACCACCTTCTCCTTTCAACAAGCATCATCTGGCCTACTGGAAGGGCACATCCAACTCGGAGGTTTGAGCCCTATTATCAGTTCAGAGCTAAGCAAAGACACCTCAATACAGAGCCACAAACAGTCTGCCCAAATCTAGGGCTGTGCTTTTACCACCACATATTCAAGAAGCGCACTTGCTCCTCACAGTTAAAAAAAAACAGGGGGGGAGGAAGTGTTATTTTTAACTGCAGTAGGTCTCAGAGCAAGTCCACTGCACAGCTGCCTGAACAGCTGTACTACAAGACAAGGCAGGCAGCAGAGATGAACATTTCAGAGCTGTATATTATATTTTTTGCGTAAAGATTGCTGCTGTAAGAAATGCTTATGAAACTGCATCCCAGCCTTCCCAACTCCTTTCTGCACAGGCTCATACACTGCTTTGATCCCTGTGGTACTCGAGCTCTGCCTTGTCGGTCATGGTGCTGCCAGTGCTGGCAGACCTTTGCTCCATCCGCCCCAGAGAGGCACACGTGCAGAGAAGGACTTTAGTTTTTTTTTTTTTCTTCTCCATTCCACCCACACCCAGACACATTTCTCTGTTTGTTTGGGAAGAAACATTGACAGAAACATGCTTGGCGTACAGGTGAGAAAATGGGAGGGCTGTGGTAGAACACTGCTGCTCTTCTCTTGACAGTCTTGCACCAGCCCCCAAAAGTCTCATCTCCTCCGGTGAGCTTCACTCTTTTGTTTAACCCTTTTTGATTGATGGGCCACTAAAAGCTTCCTAAAGCATGCATGGACTCCTTAAATAAAACGGCCAAGTGCACACACTGTTGTGTTGTATAGGTGGGCCTGCTTCTTCTAGCTGCTCCTCCAGAGACCTGTTAGAAGTAGTTCATGGGTCTCCAAAGTTAAACAAACAGGGACAAAGCAAGTGGGGACAACGCCCTAAGACAAGTCACCAAGTTGCAGGGCCTAGATGTGAATACAGGGGCTGGGTCTTAAAACAGTGATGATTACCGCATGAAGATTCTGTACAGAGAGAGGGAAACTGGATGGCTATTCATGACGTGCACACTGGAAGCTCCCAAGCGTGTGGGCTCCACGGTGCCCCCATCTCACAGAGGACACCTCGCAGAGGAGGCCGGCAGGGCAGCAGCAAGCCTTGGGTTTGCTCATGTGTTTGGATTCATTAGTGCAGTGTTGAAGAAGCCACTTGGTTGCATATACACTCCGTTAAGCCACTCTTACAAATCCACGAACGGACAGCTCAAGCACACAGCCCTCACTTTGTGCTACTGAAGTTTTTGGCAGGGCAGACAGCATGAGAAAACCTTTCATCACTGTCAGAAACTTGGCTGGGCTGGCTGCCTCTAACTCATCTGAGCGCATTATTCCCAAGTCCCATCAGCCCGAGAACAATGTGCAAAGGAAGATGAGAACATCCCATTACAAACACAACGAAGTGCTGTCAGCCAGCCAGGTGGCAAGACATGGGGACACCTGCAACTCCCTAGCAAGTCTGAGGGCAATGGCAAGTGCAGAGCACTCCCTCAAAACTAGACCCAGCGCCCATGGCACTGAGTCAAGGATGACTTGCAGTCAGCTGCAAGTGAGGTCAAGGAAACCAACCCTCCATCCCTGAGGACATGCATCCAACGAGGCAACTATGAAATAACTGGAGATGTGGACCAGCCAGGCATGGTCTGAAATGAAGCTTCATCGGCACTAGTCCTCATCCCCTGCCCAATTTCAGTGTGGCCCCAGCATGCTCATTACTAGGTATTACATACACTGCGTTTGTGCTGAGAAATAGGATAGCCCCAATGACAACGGAGACACTCACAATTGCTCCTCTCCAAGAGGCTTCGTATTTAAGGGAAAGAAATCTATTTTTCCTTATTCCCTAACTGTATGCCTAAAAAATGAAAGGTAAGATTAATGTTACGTTCACTGCTGCGAATTAACTTGATTTCCCATCTCCGGGCCCTGGCCATGAGCCATCAGACAGTCAAACAAGCAGCAGGGGTGCAATCACAGCAGCTACAATTGGCAAGTCCAGTGAAGCATGAAACATTAACAACAGGTTTACCATAGTCTGATTAAGCCAATCTGCCTTGGCACAGCAGGGAGCAGGCCTAGGATATGTGCTTCTGGCACAGCTGTCAATGAAAGTAATGCCAGCCTAGGAACCCCAGCCGCTGCCACAGCCAGCAGAGATGCCAGCAGGGGAGGACGAGGGCAGAAGCATGGCTGGAAGCATCATCCTTCGCAGCAGTGGCGGGCTGCAAATCCATGCAGCGGCATGGAAGAGGGAGCTCGCTTGCTTGAGGGATCCTGAAGAGCCTCTCTGCAAGCTCCAAGCACAGGTATTCTCCACCAGTAGGAGTTCACCCCGAAAACAGGCCTTTCTAAGCATCAGTATATCCGATGAGGCTCTTGCAAGCATGGTTGCAAGCCCTGCCTTTATGGCTGAGTGTGCTAGTTGTGGCTGGGATAGAGTTAATTTTCTTCCTAGTAGCTAGTACAAGGCTACATTTTGCATTTGTGCTGAA